GTATGGGACAAAAAGCTGAATAATAAATCTAAGACTGAACATTTCTTGCTCTCATAGAATGGCTACAGTGGCATGATGACACAGAGCACACAGGACAGTAAGTACTCTCAGCATTGCCAGTTCTAGAAAACAGCACTGGAGTAGCCAGTAACATGTAATGAATATTGATTGCTAAATGCACCCAGTAGGAAGTGGAAGGAGTCCTCTCAGTGAAAGTTGGGGTTTTTATAAAGACCTAGATGTACAGGGAGGGTGTGTTTTTTTGTTTTGTTTTGTTGTTGTTGTTGTTGTTGTTGTGTTTTTTTTTTTTTGTGAGATTTGTCGTTTCCTTGTAGTATTCCTCTTCCCGCAATCAGTTTGTAAAACAAACACGGGAAATATGTACTTAATGAAAAAAAACTTTTCATTTTAAACCAGCTACATCATCAACGTCCAGAACGGTGAAAATGGAGTCTCCTGTTATGACGAGTGAAAGCGGCCCTGGCCACCACATCCCTTCCCCTGCAGTCACACCTTCCCACTCAACACCGATCCCCTCGCTCAACAAGTAAGGGATATTTTAGACACCTTCACATTTATATTGCGTGTTGATTGTTTTGTGTACCCCTGTTTGTCTGGAGATAATGATGGTTACAAGCACATATCATAATCCTATAATGTAGAATTACCTTTGACTGAATCTTCCATCCTCCTGCTTATGCTTCTTGAATGAGGAGTTTTTGCGGCTTCATCACACAGTCAATTTACTCTCTTTCAGTCATGTGACCAGTACTCACTTATCTGGATCGGCCCTTGCCATGAGTTCCTCCATGATAGTAAGTATGCATACATGGATGCACGTGGATGTGATTCCTCTGTTTTAATTTAATAACACATAGTCTGCCAAACGTGAGATACTCAGTTGTGTTATTTGATCTTTGGTTATTGGAATGCAGTGCACTAAGCTTTGAGGAATATCACTTTTTATTTATCAAGACATTGATGCCTTGAAATACAAATGGTTCTCCTCAGACATGCCTCTGCTCTTATCCTGTATCAGATGAGTAATGAGGAGAGCAGCAGCAACCTCCATGCCTTTTCATCATCATCATCAGCGAGTCAAGCTGTCAATCCCAGTCTTTCAACTCCACTTGCTGTCAGCAGCTCAAACACCAACAGTCTACACCCATCTGGAGCACCGGGACTAACTGCTAATGGCTCAAACACCACACTTTCAGCTGCAGGCAGCCGCACGGCGCCCCTGCTCACCACCACCTCTGGTAGGCTCATAGCTCCTCATATGAACCACATCCCCATGATGCAGGAACTCATTTAAAAAAATTCTTTTAAAAGGGCCTCTTCAACCCCTTATTTTGTTGTCAATAACTTTAATTCACAGTAAATATGTTTTGACACTTTTACTTCAGTAATAATTTAACCAATTCCTCCTCTGCCTCAGGTAAAGCTCCTCCCAACTTGGCTCAAGGAGTGCCACCTCTCCTAGCTAACCAGTACATCATGGGCCCTGGTGGCTTGCTCCCTGCTTATCCGGTAACCGTATTCTTTCCTAATCAGTTATTTACTTGTTGGTGTATTAATTAGACTCCTGAAGGTGTTTTCTTTTTTTTTTTAAGTAAAGAAGGGTTGTACTGCTAAAAATGGATGGGTGTGTTTCTCAGGTGACTAATCTGCACAGAATTGTTCAGCATCTTCATAGTGTCATCACTGTATTTGTATAATTTCTGTGCACCTTGCATGTAACAAAAGTGGATATGTTGAAATGAACAGTTAGGGCAGTGAGTTCACTCGTTATATTGGAGAGCTTTTCAGTGTTGACGATGACTGTGTTTTAGTAGGTTCTGATCAAACATGACGTCTGTGGAAAGCACTGAGAAACTGACTGAAGCTGGATAGAGAGTGAAACTAAAATGGAGTTTTAGACAAAAGGGTTGAGTACCAGCATGATACTAAATACTCACTTGTTTTTTTCCCCTCAATTATCTCTATTTCAACAGCAGATCTATGGATACGAGGACTTGCAGATGCTACAGTCCCGCCTTCCTATGGTAATGTCCCCCTAATGCTTATTACTTTGGTACTAGGATTTTTCTAAAATGAGCATGTGTTTTTTTTTTTTGTTTGTTTTTATATTACATTTCTGCTACCTTTTAATAAACTAATTCATAATCTTTATCTTCTCTCCTGTTGCACTGAGTATCAGCAATTTCAAAATCCAAGTAGCAGTTAAAGACAGGGTGCTAGAAAAGGCAACATAACAGGGAGCACTATGCTTGGCATTTTAATTATACTTCTTTCCCCCCTCTATCTATATAGGACTATTATGGTGTAACATTCCCTGGTACTACAGCTATTGTGCCTGGGAGAGATGGCCTGGCCAATAATCCATATTCTGGTAAGTCATATTTAGTGTTGAGCCAGAGTTTTAGTTGATCTCTGCTGAACTTGCATCACATTTTAAGCCATTAAGTCACACTGATACTGAACAATGGTCACAATTATTCACCATATCATAAAATATCACATCTGTTAATATCATTTTTCATGGTTAGCAGCATACTAAATGGATTTATGATATTAACATGGTGATTCTGACCTATCAACAATTGTGTGTTTTTTTTTTTTTGTTTTTTTTTGGTGGCCATTTCATGTTCGCATTCCAACAGCTGAATTTAAGCTGTACTTTTTCAACATGGCCTTTTCTTCCATTGTTTTCTGTCTAGGTGAGGCAACAAAGTTTGGCAGAAATGACTCTTTGTCTCCAGCTCCCCCAACCAGCCTGTCTATGGGGGTGCCGTCGCAGCCCCAGCAGGCACCGCAGGCAGGTACGCAGGGCCAGGGCCAGGGACAAAGCCAGAGTCAGCAAACACAGAACCAGGCCTTCCTCAACCCCGGTCTGCCCCCTGGCTATGGCTACACTGGTAAGGGAATGTAAAACTAAGTTTAATGAGGATTTTGCCAATGTCATTTGTAACAGCTCTCCTTTTTATAAAGAAAACTGTTCTCAGCATCATCTTATTGGTTTAAAATCTGTTGCAGTTTCAATGTTCTTTTCATTGCACTTGGCATTAATTTTCTACCTCATCTTCTTACAGGTCTGCCATACTACGCTGGTGTCCCTGGGGTGCCCTCAGCCTTCCAATACGGCCCCACCGTCTTTGTGCCTCCTGCTTCAGCCAAGCAGCCTGCAATGGGCCTGGCCAACCCCTCCAATCAGTACCACCAACAACATCAGCCCAGTTATGGACAGCATGCATATGGCACAGGTACAACCAGGACACAACAACAGCTCTGCACATTTTCTTCAAAGTCAAGTCATTGACGTTTTCTTGCAGTAGCTTTAGTTGATACAACTTTTGAATAGATTTAACTGACTTGAGCCTGTTTATGCCTATTTAACTATAACAGTACAGGATTATCTTAAACTATTCCTGCCTCACAAACTTATCACAGTAGAACAAACTGTTACAACTTGCCATGAAAAATACATGAGAAGGTTGTTTAATCCACTTCAGATAGTCTTGGTGGGTTTCAGGACAGTTACCTGTGTATCTGCTTTAGTGCTCAAAATTACCCAAGTTACTATCTTGTCTAGCCGTCCTTGGTAGGCTAGTGGTTAAAGCGCAGTGCTCTCGCTGCTGCGGCACGGGTTCGAGTCAGGGTTGTGTCAGAAGGGGCATCCGGCGTAAAACACGTGCCAAATGTCAACATGCGAATTGTCAGTGTGACGATTTGCTGTGGTGACCCCTAAATGGGAAAAGCCGAAAGTGACTTTCACTCTCTTGTCTGACACTGTATTACTGTCAGGTTATCTGTGGTGTTTCATGTCCAGTTTGGTACTGCTGTTTTGTGAGAGATGGGGTGTGCTTGTAAAAAGCATGGCAGAAGTGAAGTGTGAATAGTGTAGAGGGAGGGAAAAGAGAAGTCAGCTCCCAACCCTTTTTAAATTTACACAAAATGCTGCATGTGGAGTTAGGTCTGTGTGCGTGTGGATTATTTTTTTTTTTTTGCGCTTTGCTTTGCTGCATGCATGGCTGAAACCCCCCGCTGAAGTTGGACACAGCTCAATATAGACAGCTGACATTTTAGTCGGGTTACCTTACTGCCTCTCTCTCCCCTGCCCCCATCCCTCTTCTCCTCCCACCCTCTTTCCTCTTCCCCTTCTTCTCTTAATTTCATCTGTTGCCCTTCTTTCTCTTCCTGTCTCTTCCTTCTCCTCTGCTGACTCTGCCTACTATCTTCTTCTGTACTCTTCCTCCACCTCCTCCTTCAGCCTTTGATGACCTGTCTCAAGCCCACGGTGGAGAGTACAGTAAGGGAGGGTACGGAGGCTCTGCCCAGTCACAGGCCAAGTCAGCGGGCAGCGGCCCAGGGAAAGGTACACACACAACATGTGCGCACACTTGAGTAACACAGTCTCAGTGGGTGTTTTTTTTAGTGGGGAAAAACGGATGTACTCACAATTGCAGATGATGCTACAGTCAAGGGTGTTCTGGAGAAAGGTTTGTGTATATGCATGCGTGTGATTGCACTTCAGTGTGCACATACTTTCATGCCAAAGGGTGAAAAAAGTGAGAAACATGCCTCTGCATCTCCTTAATGTGCTTCTTCCTACTGGCTGGCCCCCCTCTTAACAGTGGAAATGAATAATCAGTTTTAATGTTCACTCATCAGCATTAGATTTTCTTCTCACCATTTTCTTCTCTCCTTTCTTGCTTTCGTCCCTTCCCTCTTAAATTCCCATCTTTTTCTTTGTCTGTTCTTTTCTCCCTCTCTCGATTCTCCTCTCAGCACCAGGACTGTCAGGGTCAGGTACCAGTGGAGGAGTGCCTGACATGGGAAGTTCCATCTACAGCAAAACACAGGTGAGTAACTTGCTGTCCTGTTGAAAAGTCTGTGTGATTAGGTGGAGGCGTAAGATGGTACTTGTCTTAAGTCACACTTGAATGGCTTTTCTTCACAGTAACTTTATAGTGTCAGATACATAAGCATGTATGTGAAATGTGCATGGTTTGCATATAGGAGTCAAATTCCATGTATGTTCAAATATACTTGGCCATTAAAGATGATTCTGATTCTATAATTTATTTCTAAGTCTATACTACATACATGTACTTTAATGTCTCCTGTCTTCTCTTGCTTCTCCTCAGTCATTTGACAAGCAGGGCTTTCACACGGGGACACCACCTCCCTTCAGCCTACCTTCAGCACTGGGGGGAACGGGGCCGCTGAACGCTGGGGGTGCTCCTGGCTATGCCCCTGCCCCCTTCCTACACATCCTGCCACCGCACCAACAGCCCCACTCCCAGATGCTGCACCATCACCTCACACAGGACGGACAGGTGAACTGAAGTCTCTGTATATACATAATATTCTGCCCACTCAGGGTTTCACCAAATTAGTTAGCATCATTAAATGTTTTGCAAATTTGAGTGTTTATCTGTGTTCAGTAATTAACTAAAAAGGACTAACTTGGGAGATTTTTCAGAAGCAGGAACCACATCCCTGGGACCAAAACTAGATCCTAGTTTTTGTAGTCAAGTGCTAGACAAGCAGAGTTACTCTCAATGTTTCTGGAAAAGTTCCCTGATTGTAAATGGCTGTTAAATTTAATAGAAAAAGGAAATTAAATAAACCTGTTAGTGTAGATAGCTGGGTTTAAATATGTTCGAGTGAATGGACCTTTTGCTGTCTGCAGGGTGGCCCTGGTCAGCGCAGTCAATCCAGCAGCATGCAGCAGAAAACCCAAGGCAGCAAGTCCAGCTACGGCAGCTCCCCCTACTGGGCCAACTGAGGAATGCGTCCTACTCCCCCTCCTCCAAAAGGCTGTGTGTGTGTGTGTCCATGTGTAAAGCTAAAACAAAGCAGACACACTACCCTCACAATGAGCAACCTTGGGCCTCCTCGCCCCACTCCCCCCACCTCCACAAGTCCTCATAAGTCTTTTGGGTTCTCTCCCTCCCCCTTTCAAAATTGGTTGTACATGTAAGATATTTTGGAAAACATTTTACATTAAGACAAAATAAGATGAGGATGATAGTGAGAGTGAGTGAACAAGAGAAATTATCACAAACTTCTGGAAGAAACCAGAAAAAAGGAAAAGGAGAGAGCTTAAGCACTGATTGCATATGAGGACATTTCAGATGGGGGTGGGGTTTATAATAACTAACTGCATCTCCTCTTGTTTTCTTTTTTTATACATAACTTTTTGAATGACCAGGCTCATTTCCCAAATTTTATTTTGTAGCTCCCTGTTTCTCTTGTCCTTCTGGAGAGCTGCCTACTCTTACTGTGTCACCTAACCTCTAAAGATAGACCTGCCCATCAAAATTTTATATTTTAATTTAATTTTAGCCCTTATTTCCCTCAAAATAAAAGTTCTGAGAAGTTGGAACTCTCTTGCCAGAGTCTTTGTGTTTCGTGTATGCATGTATATCTAGACTGTCCAGGAAATTCAGACCAAAGCTTTCCAATTTAATTGCACAGTGTCCAAGGTTATACAAAACTTGGCAAAACCTGTCGATCATAGGACAGCTGCACTGGTGGTCAGATACAGCTGTTTGATCTACAGGTAATTTGTACATTAATGGCTCTTTTTTTTTTTTGGATACCTTTTGTCTTTTTTCTCTCAGAATCCATGGAAAATATAGTTCTATATAATTAACTTGTATAAGTTTGTACTTTAAATTTGCAAGGTTGTGTGAAAGTTAACCTGTTTTACAAAAAAGAATATTCCCTGAAACTGAAATGCACATTTCTGTCATCTGGTTACCAGAAGTGTGTTCACTAAAACTGTGTTTTAAGCCAGTTGGCCATATGGCGGCCCAGCTTGAGTGAGACACAGGTGGCTTTCTGATTACAGTGCATACATTATTAGACGGCTTCTGTTCCCTAGAAAGTCATATTCCATGATCTCATTAACATGACAAAAACAAGGTAAGGAAGATGAAATGGCTTTTGATTTTTACATTTTATTTATTCCTTGGCTCTACACAGGAAAAGCTTTTACTGTAAATATGACAAAGGAGAAAAATACCAGTTAAGCAGTTTTAATGAGTTACAGCTGTCCAGGAATTTATTTGGTCAGGACAAGAATACAGTCATGCAGAACAAGGGTGGATAGCTGTGGAAAGACAATGTTGTGATTGTGAAGGCAAACCAAGATATTCTGTTTATGATTGTCACGGTTCTGTTTGCCATGTTGAATGAAGTAACTCGGGTTCATGTTTATTAATGAGGTTGTAGTTAAAAGTGGTGTTGTACAGGACTACATTATATTCAGAGGTGTATTTAATATTCTGACCATGTATGTAGCTGGGGAGGACAAAAAGATAGACACCTCTGAATATAGCGTAGTCCAATACAACAACACCTTTAACTATGAGCTTAATAATAAACATATAATTGAATTTATACGTTTATGGTAATTTCACCAAAAACTGAAACATTTTGAGCTTCATAAACACAGGTGTTAAGGCGGAAATGTTGGAATGAAAGTGCATACAATTGCACAAGTGTACCTAATAATGTGGTTGGTGAGTGTATAGCTTTAGTATCAGACAGCGCTCACCTGAGGAGTGATCGGTTTCCTCAGTCATTTAAATAGTTGCTCAAACTAGTGGCTGGGTAAGCAATAGTTCTTTTGATTTTAGCTTTTGAATAGTTTTGATGATTTATTGTAATAGAATTTGCAAAGATATTTTCTTAAATAATTTGGTTATTTTTAAATGTCGCCATTAAATACCACAAAACCTGCTGACAAATGGAACAAATTCTGCTGGGATCATCACTTCATCCTATTAAAAATTACTTTTTACCCTGCCGATTTGACAACACCACACACATTCCCAGTGACACCAAGGTACTACATGTGTTTTTATGTTCAAATATTTGATTTATGTCAAGGATGTTTGACAGTCATAAAGAGAGAAGGATGGTTGTGCAATAAAAACTCCCATAATGCATGAAGTAGTGAAACTGAGCACACAGTTTCAGTGCAGATAATGTTTAGGAACAGATGAGTGATTAACACTTTTAAAAGTGTACATGGCCATGTGGAAATGTGGAAAGAATTCAAATGCAATATCCTATTTGTAATTTTTTCAGCCACCACCAGATGGGAATATATAGCCATGCACTGTATATTTAAGTCTTATGAAGTAATTTACTGGGTGCATACACAGGAGTTCTTTTATTGACATGTGAGGCCTGACAAGGTAAACAATGAATAGGTAAATTAAAAGAAGGTATGCAAACACTTATATGTTGACCTGTTCTTAAGTCAAACCTGACACTGTTCTCACGTTGTTGGAGTTGTTAGAAACTACGTGTTTTTTAAGTGGTAACACACATTACTGAATGAGAAGGGGGGAAATTAGAATTAACAGTACTCACAAAGAGAGGGTGAAAGTTTGACTATAGTGCTCTGTCTGTCTCTCCCTTCTTCCATCTCTGTCCACTGAATGTAGAGAGTGTGTAAACCCCTCAGAATAGCCTATATAACATTTGCATGTGACCAACAAAGAAGGGGGGAGGAAGAAGAGAAAGGTGGTGGGGTTCAGAATAGATAGGGTGGATAGTTGGTGAGTGGCAGGTGCTATTGTGGCCTACGTGCAGGAGTCTACAGCAACAGGGGCAAATGTCAAAGTGAAGTTGAAAGGTCAACCTTAACTCCCTGGAAGCCCACCCTGTATGAGAAACGGATAAGGTGGGGGGGGGTCAAAAAGATGGATGGGCTCAATGAAGAAAGATACAGTGCAGGTCAAAGCACATTCTGGTGAACCAAAGGCAGGCTCTACAGAAAAGAATGGATTCCAGATTAATTATAAAAAAAACAATACAGACAAAAAAGAAAACATCTGGAAAGGAAAGTAAATGATAGAAGGTGAAGGAGAAGCCATGATGGATAAACAAGGAGACTTGAGAATAAGGTGAGGAGAAGCAGTGGTGTATGGGAAATTCAAGATGCATTTAAATAGGGGCAAATACTGTATATTTGATAACACCCCATCTTGATGGGACAAGAAAATCATGTAGGAGGTTCCCCTCAAGAAGTGCTGGGTTTGATACTGAATGGACAAATTAGCTGTGTCCTTGATGAATAAAGCTAGTTGGCCATAGTTGCCTATTGGGGCCTTCTATTGTGTTGTATTATGGGGGTTTTCCTAAGTTGTGGTTGGCTTGAACACATGATGCACCCTGTTATTTAAATGAAGAGGCACAGGAATGCATACAGGAATGTCCCTCAAAGTGTTTGTTGACACTCGTGACTGCTCCTCTCTCTGATGTTGAGAAAGACGCTTTGTTGGGGTTCATTCCATTCTCTCCCTGGAAAAAACACTCGGGGAGCTGTGAGGCTGTCATGCAGGATATTGTGACAGTTTAGACCTGAATAGAAATTGCGGGCCCTGATGATCAAGCCAGCCTCGTGACCTGGGTACTTGATTTGGATACTCAAATCAATTTCTGCTGTGTTTTGTCTCCTCCTTTCCTTTTTTCTATAAATTTCAAGCCCTTCCATCTGGCTGAATAGAGAAAGATCACTGGGTGTTTTTTAAGCTCCCTTTGATCTCCATCTGGGGGACCATGAGATGTTCTTGTCGCCCTACTTGTTTTGAAATGTGACAGCAGGATCCATTCAGCAAGAAATTGGCTGCAATTAGTGCAATTATGCTGATTTTCACTTGTGTCCCATGCAGAACAGAGTTTTCGCTGTGCACGGAGACATCCACCGGAAAACTGCTGCAAAACAAAAACCCATCAATCAACAAAGGCTGTGAATGAAAGGCTCAACTGCAGATAATACTGGCCACATTCCATAATGACAAAGTTTAGTCAGCTGTGACCTGTGTTGAGATCGGGGGGCATGACATATAGAGCTTCACTGATAGAGGCAGTACGCCCATTAAGAAGGGCAGAAGGCCTAATTGGCATTGGTGAGTAACCATTCCTAAAATAAGATCATCTGTGAGGTTGCTTGCATTATGATAGTGTTGCACACACCCGAATTCAGCTCATGTCTGGGGTTTTAGCAGTGGCAAAGCCATCTATATTGTTAGCTGTAAATCATGACAGTTGTAAAGGCAGAAAGAATCATCACATTCATAAAGTTGAAAGACATTTGGGTAATTTATAGAAGGAAAAAGTCATGCCTTCTCTGAATAATGTCTGTGGCTGCTTCTCAGTGGATGACGACTGAGGTGGTGGTCATAGTTTGCCCAATTTTACATTGGTATGTCTAAGTCAATATTGCCCAGGAGACTGACAAGGCTTGCATTCAACAGCAGATTGCAAGGGAAGCAGCATCCAAAATGTCATGCGTCCGCTTGTTAACCGGTGAACCTTTTATGGGGGGAAATGTGACACACTGGCAAACATCTCACTCACTTACTGAAAACATGCACGACCGTTGATGGTTAAAGAAGAGCTGTGCTGTTTCAGTCAAAAATATGGACTCTTCTGGTGGCTACTAGCACAAAATAAACCTTGAAAGTAAAACAGAGAGCAGTTTTGACTGGTATTGACTGTCTAAATACCAAAAGATGCTATAATCATCTAAACATTCAAGATATTTTCAAGATGTTTTCATAGCAAAGTATGAACATTCCTAAGAGTAGCATCATTCATAATGCCAAATATTTAATCATCTCATGTTTGATAAACCAATTTTACATCATAATTTATTGCATTTACATAGCCTACGTCTTTGTCAGAATTACAACATTTATGATTAATAGCGGTCTTAGAACTTTTTTCAGTTGTATTTGATATATTTATGAAGGATGTTATACCAGGATTACACAGGAAGACTCCTTCAGGAACTCATAAGCTCCCCCCCCCCCACCCACCACACACCCACTCCGGGCTAGGG